CATATTATGGGCAAGATAAAAGTCATGTCTGAGCATGCTGAAAGGAATAGATTTTTCTTCCTATTTTATTTATTTATTTAAAACATTTCTGTGCCGCCCCCATCGCAACAAAGCCTCGGGGCGGCTCGCAAAGAGTGAGGAGTGAAAGCTGTAATGATGGAAGTGACCTTTGGTTGCTTTGTGTACCTCAACAGGAAGCAGTTCTAGATTGGTTTGCTTTTATCTTAAAACATTTATTACTTAATAAATACAGGCTGCCCACTTAAAGCCAGAACAGTGGCTCTGTGTTTTGCCAAAGGGACTGCAAAAGGTGGAGTGAACATCTGTCCCATGTTTAACCCAGAGCAAATGTTTCCAGCTGTCGTTTCGTTATCTGGCCCAGTTCAGGGAAGGGAAAGTTAACTCAAGTATCTGAAATGAAGAAACCCATTACAGAGATTTGTAGGGCATTCTCAAGTCTGATTGATATGACATAGTTTCTAACTTGAGTTGCATGCTGCTACAAAATCCACACACACACATGCAAGTATGGATCTGGACTCCCCTCCTGTTTTTTAAAAGGACTTGTCCACCCAAATTCACCCAATATCCCTTCACGTTTTATGCAGCAAGTACCTACCTGGTAGGAAGTGATAGCTATGCAAGTGCATTGCCCTCAAGTTGCTAGAGAAATACATCCTCCAGCTCCAGTTGTTTCCTAGCTCCCATCCATTAAGTCAGAAGTGTCAAACTTCTTTCAGCCTAAAGACTGAATTCCATGTCATGTGTGCACCCTGGGAAAAGCAGCCAGAAGGGCCACAGTTTGTTGATAGGTTTGATAGGAATTGGAGTTCAGACAGTGAAGATGAAGCAGTTTTGGGGTGTCAGCAAACAACAGTATCAGATCAAGGCCAGCGAATGTCTGCAGTTCAAGCACCGTCTCCCAAGCTAGGTGGAGGTGGCAACCAACCATCCCATGGATAGATGGAAAGATAGCCCAGCAAGGGGTGGAGCTGGGGGCAGGAGATGACGAGAGCTCCAGTCTGCCCATGGGAGGATGAAAGGAGGACTCGGGCTCTGCTCAGAGCATGCACCAAGAGCTGAATAGTCTGCCAGATGTAGAGTCCCCTCTCCCTGAGGAAGTGTTGCTGGTTACTAGGAGGCAACACAGCTGGGAGGTTCAGCTGTCAGAGCTGCAGGAGGGGTGGAGACAGGTGAGGAATGCCAGTGCCCCACCTCTGAGCCGGTGATGGAGAAAGTCTCTTAAATGGGTTGAAGAATAAGGGGAGGGCTCAGAGAGTTCCACACTTTAGGCTGGATGAGCTCAGGAGATGTTTGACAATAAGGACGTGTAACAATTAAGGATTGTGAAAAGGAACTCTGAAGCAGCGTGTTCACTTGGGAAGAACCATGCCTTGTGACATTCCATTTCAGAGAAGCTCTTGGGGGCTGCCTTTCAGCAATGAGAGGGAACAAACATGCCAGTTTATTTTAGTTTAAAGATTAAAGCTTGGGCAAGGAATTTCAAACTCTTAGAATGGAATTGGGATCTACAGCCAGCTGGATTTGGCTCCAGGGCCTAAGGTTCTGCACCTTGCTTTAAGTACTGATGGAATTGCTACTTCCTGCCAAAAGGATTTCAAGGGGAGATGAAAAGGGTGCGTGTGTCCCGCCCTGGCCTAAGGACAAAAGCTGATTTTAGGGACATATTAAATGTTTTGGTAAGAAGGTCAAAATTGAATGTTGAATGTCTTTGAGAACTCTAGGATGCATACCATCGGACCAGGTGATTTGCTGACTTTCAGTTTGTCAATAAGGCTAAGACATTGATCTTTTGTCACTACTATCTGCCTTAATTCCCCCAAGTCCTTTCCAGAATACATAAGCTCAGGAACAGGTGTCTGTTTTGCATCCTCTGCTATACCGGATGGACAATCTTGGACAATCTGAAACTTCCTCCTCTTCATCTATTAAGGATGATTTAACTGGAACCCAATGCTACAAATCAAGGGGCCAGAAGCAAGTACCAATTCAGAGCCAGGCAGATATTTGCATGCCCCTGGCAGAAGTTTCTCTAGGGCAAATGTATAGTCAAAGAGAGGCAGAGTCGTCATACTTTGCTCAGGTGAAAGCAAACATTCTTACTTAACTGTAAGGGTGATTCAGATCAGATTTATTATGAGTCAGGAGGGGAGTTTACCCTTCCCCTATTTTAACATGAAATTCCATGCTGCTATGATGCCGATGCATTTATACCCTGCCTTTCTTCCTTTTGCAAGGAACCCTAGGCAGCTTGCATGGTTCTCATCTTCTTCAGTTTTATCCTCACAAGATTCCTGTGAGATGGGTTGGACTGAGAGTCTGGGAGTGGCCCAAAGTCACCCAGTGGGCTTCATGGTTGCGTGGGAACTAGAACCTGAATCTGTTTAGTCTCAGTCCAGAATGCTTAACCCCTGCAACACAGTGACTCTTGTACATCACATCCACACGTACCATGGGGAAGTTTTTAAAAAGGCAGAAAATGTACAACTCCGCTATGAGTGATAAGCAGAACATTTAGTCTGGCCTTTAAATTGATACACAACCTGTATTTAGTATGGCTACCTATATTGAGGCCAGGAAATCAGTTTTCTCTCTTCTGGCCAGAACTGCAGTTTAGAGGATGCACTTTTCTACAGGCTGCATTGCCTGACCACAGAGTGGCCATAGTGCAGGAGTGAAAGCGCTCCCTGAGACTGACTGCTGAGGTCCTGGTTTGAAATTGCTCTTGGCATCTTAGATGTAGAAAGGCATCAAAGGAGTCCTGCCCATTCACAGACACAAACCAAATGCAGAAGGCATTATTTGCAGGTCCCTGAGTAAATCTCTCTTTGGCATCATACTTGGGTTAAATTGGATAATAATCAGGTCTGTTTTTCAAGAAATATGGTACCTACTGGATGTTGAGTACAAATGCCATAGATGCATAGCGATAGCACCCATTTATGATTTATTAAACAAAACCCTTCTCTTCCTTGTCCCTTGATCTGATATGGGACATGAGCACACTCTTCCTTTTCCTGCCCTCATGTGGAAAGTCCTTGGCATTTTTGCTGGGTTTGGCTTTGGCTGTGGGAGTGGAATCCTTGCACAGTTCTGAAGAAGATTGAATGACAGTGTCTCTGTAGGAGATGCAGACTTTTAAAGGCTAATCAACCTTCCCTTTGGTAAAGGAAAATCACAGACTATTCAGGTTGTTGCTTCTCTTCCTTAACACGTGAGGTGCAGAAATACATCAAACCTGCCACTTTTAGTTGGAGTGGTGTTCTTCACAGCAGAAGGCAGGCATTATTGCTGTGGTCACGTTTTCCAAGCACTTGCTGTGGAACCTATCCAAAGTTATTTTGGCACTTGCTTCAAATATTTCCTCCAGTCACCGGTGAATGGACCAGATGGGCCTCTCACACAGTTGCACGTGGTGGCTGTTCTGGTACAAGTGACTTGCAAAGTAAAAATGAGAGTTATGCTGCTAAGTGCCAAGCCTCATTAACTGGTTGTGGGGAATACATATAATTGATTAGGATTATGCAATCAAAGAGCAGGATTTAACCCACTGGATTTAGAGATTACACTCACAACTTTTGTGCAGCTCAACCATTCTGAAGTGTAAATGCTGAAGCATGGACAGGGGAGCTTTTTAAGAAGGTAAATTACATGCCACTCTAAAGATTGGCTTTTATGACCCTTCTCTATAATAACCAAGGAAGTTCTAAGCTCTTGATTTAGATGTTTAAACATGTACCTAGACAGCACATTTCATGCTTACAAACCTGAACTAAATGATGATGTGAAGGCTTCATGTAAACATAGGTCCCTCCTTGACATGAATCAGACTGTCCCCATTACTCAGGAGTAAGCACCATTGATTTCAATGGGACCTTTAAACAAGTATTGCTTTAAGGGTGTAATTCTGTGCATTTTTAGACAGAACAAGTTCTACTCTGCAATTTGGCTGGGACCTGTAAGCCCTTTTTTCCTGCTAAAACATGCATAACATTCCTCCCTTACTGCATTTCTTTGTTTTAAAAATCTTGTGTATAACAGAATAATGGGGCACCAATCTGGGAAATGAGAGCCTAAATCCTTCCATCAGTGGTGATGTTCCTCACCTGCTTTTTGCATATAGTTATACCGGTCTGCTTCACAGGCTCGTACACACTGGATGGTAAAGCTGTCTAAAAATGTAATTTGTAGTTCAAATATACATTATGAATTATATGTTGGCCATCATTTTATTCTCTCTGTCTTAACTGCTGAAGTGATATGTGATATAGTGAACTTCTTTAGCTGACTGCAGTTCAGATTTTTATCTGCAGTGTTTATTTTGTAATGTATGACAAATTCCATTAAAAAAGAAGTAGCTGGCATTCCATATCTCAGGAAAGAGACTGAAAGTCCATATTAGATTAACTAGATCTAGTCCATACAAAATAGCTGGTTTTCATTTGCATCCAAATGTTTCTCTTAGCTCCAGTTTATACAGGCTGCTCATTCTCCTTCTGCATTATAGTCCATTGTCCCCAGCCAATGGATCCGCAGCAGGAGGTCACACATGCATGCAATGCTTTCTTGTCCACAGTCACGTGGGAGGGATGGACCAGGGCTGCAGCTCCGTGGCCGAGCACAGTCTCCATTCCATTCCTGGCATCTCCAGTTGCAAGTGATGGCGACTGTCTGTCAAAAGAGACTGCTCAGTATAAGATAGCCTCATATGGTGCTACCTGCTCTATATGTGAAAGGGGGCAGCCCTGTTGGCAGGATTTCCTTCCCTCCAACAAGCTTCCAGATCAGTGTGCTTTTGTAATTCACACAGAAGACCATTAGGGAATGTAATAAATAAAAGTCTTGGTGGTAATTGTAGATACATTTTTCTAAGGTTAGGACGTGTTATAAAAACTTTGGGGAACAATTGCCCTTAATTGTTCAACTATTAAGTACAAAACAAAGTTTCACACAATTTTTGCTCTTGTATGTCTTTGCAGCAGCGGTAAACTTCCTCCGATCCCTGCTGGAGCCAGATCCTGCAAAGAGGCCAAACATTCAACAGGCTTTAGCAAACCGCTGGCTTAATGAGAATGGCAAAGCTCAAAATAACGTCACATATCCAAACAGGTAATTTACTAACTATGGATGGTGCCTGATAAAGCGATTTGGCTAACATGATCATGCTTTCCTGAAGCCCTTGGACAACTGAGAAAGGACTGCCTAAATAAGCAGAGGAGTGGTGTGCTTTGCAAGATTCCTTCAGCAAGAGTACAAAGTAGCAGCATGCAAGATAACACTTGGGTTAAGAAAATTTGCCTTAAACACTGATGATGGGCCCATTCTATTCAGCTCAATTCTGCCTCTATGTTTACAAGCTTTGGGTCATGATGTCCTGCACATGCGCCTTAACAACAAAAGAAGAGCCATGCTGGATCAGGCCAAAGAAGCCCACCATGATGTTCCAAGAGGCCTACTAGAAGTGCACAAGTCAGCCACAAGTCCACAAGATGGCTGTTTGTTGTAAGCCATCCTGAGACGCTAGTATAAGGGATGGTTTATAAAAGCCTTATGAGCTGAGTCAATACACCCTCCTCTACTTCCATTCCTCAGCATGCCTGAGGTATCCTATCTCCGATAGCAGAGGTAGGATGTGGTGATCATTCATAGCCTTATGCTACTGAGTGATTTTGCCCTGATTACCCCTGAGCAGACAGAGGCTGGTACTGCTTGCTTTTGAGTAGACTTCAAAGCATCATGACTGGCCATGCCTATGTATACCTACTTTGGCCATACCTACTTTGCCAGTGTAATGTGGTGATTAGAGTGTTGGACTGGGGACCTGGAATATCCAGGTTCTAGTCCCCACTTGCCCATGAAACTTACTGGGTGACTTTGGGTCAGTCAGTCATCCTTGGCCTACCTTACCTTACAAGGTTGTTGTTGGGTGAATTAAAAAATGGAATGGAGAACTTGGTAAGCTGCCTTGAGTTCCTTCCACAAGGGGAAAAGGCAGCATATAAATACAATCAAATGATGATAATAATTTGTATTTGGCCCTGCCCACATATGGTATGCAACTCCTGAGGCCTCTCTGAAGTTGGAATTCAGTCTTAGGAATGAAACATCTTCCTCGCCCCTGATTTGTACTACATGTTTTAAGTGGTAAAGGTGTGTTACATCTCTAATTACAGTAATGGTTATAATACTCCTTAAGGAAGGCCACTATTATGATCACACCGTAAGAAATGAGGGAGTGGAGACTATGGGAACAGTGGTTCGTTTGAGGTAGTCTACTATGCTTGTGGCTGCAGGTTGTTTTGAACTGGGAATATTTTGAAATTTAGCTTTTCCCCTGAGCTGCTTAGCTATGCAAACTCCCCATTTTCATTCTTAGATATTTTCTTAGACATATGGAAGAAGGAGGACAGATTTTCTGAGGTTAGTGTTCTGAGGATTGTCTTATGGTTGTTAGGATCAGTTCCTAGTGTAAGCTTGGCCAAGTCACATTGTTTTCTCAGTGTTTCTTTGCTCCCACCCTGTAGTGTGGAGGATGATATTTTCCAACCTCCGAAAGGGTTTTGTCAGGATAAAAACCTTTAATAGTGGTAAGATGCTAGTTACTATGGTAATGAGGGTTATGTAACACATGGGTGGATATTAATGCAGAAGAGAAGGTTGATTCTTCTCTAAGGTTTCAGTTCAGATTTTATATGATGGATAAAAACATTGTTATGGTCTATATATATTATCTAACATATATTAGAATATTCATGGTTGGTTGCTTCTAGCCTCTAATGTGTGCAAAGTGTACAAATTTAAATGACCTGCAGGAGAATCATGGCTCTTTGGTAGCTCTAACAGAGGAGAGAAATAAATAACTATCAAAACATTATTGTGTGCGACCTGTTCTCCAAGGCACTTTAAACATTATGAATTTTGTGCAGATAGGAAAGCTATTGTGCAAGTCATTTTCATTATATGGACATGCATCAAACCCCCCAAAATGAGTAGCAATAAAATGTGAAGATACACACTTGATTTTATTACTTTTGCAATATTTAGGTTGTTTTCCATGGTGGAATTGTAATGCTTGAAGCCTGAGTGAGGTGGAGGATGAATTTGTCACATTGTGGGCTCCGCCTACACACATGCAAATATGGAACATGGCGGTCTATGTGAAGTGATGAAAAAGATTGCATTTTTGATGCTGTATATTGCAGGCACAGTATGTAGGCAAAGGGCACGATCCTTTGCATGTTTGGACAGAAATACTCAAAAAGTGTAACAACACGCACTGACCTGGCCCTCCTGTCATGGCAGCCCCTCTTGGGTGACTAGCTACAGTGTGTTGTCATGTTGTGTGTACTTGGTTAGCTTTGCCCAGAATGACTTGTCCTGGGGCAATGAGCCATCCTGAAAACCATCAAGCGGAGGTTGTATGCACAATATCATTCATACTCAGGAGACAGATCCCCTTGTGGCATCTGGGAAGTAGTGAGCAAGCCTCTCAGCAAGAATGGCACCCACCCCCCGCCGCTGCTCTTGGCAATCTGGCCTGTGCTGACATGAGTGGCAAACACTGACAGCCCCTCCGGCAGAACTCTGGAGTGGCCATTGCTGGTTCCCCCATCAGTGGAAAGGAAATAGGCAGAAATTTCAAACCCAGAAAGTAAATGGAGGGAAAATGTAAAATGCACGTTTCTCTTCCATTTAGGTCTCAACCTTGAAAACCTGCTTATATTTCCCTGTCAAAAATTATGCACGCATTTTGCAGACACTTAAACAAATCAACCCTTTGAGGTCACAGAGTGAATGTGGTACCCTGTCCTTCCTCATCCCCCCCACCCCCCCAACTGTCCCTCAGTGCTTAGCTGTCTTGACAGGAGATTTTCACAGCTGCCAGGGAATTGCAGTAAGTACTCCAAAAAGGAGGAATTAAAGGGTCATGCAACTGTAAGATCTACCCTTTCTGGACTAGCTGGAAAGATAGAGGTTACTGAGGAGAGTCAATTCAGTACTTAAAACCCAGAGGATGAGCTTGATAAAAGAGGAATCTACGGTTCACTCCTTTTGATTCACTCACCACCGTTTTTTTCCCCAATTTGCTGCTGTGCCACAGTTAACAGCTCGATGCTTGGCAACTGTCAGCTGTTTGGAGTGTATAGTGTAACCTATATGCAGTCTTTATGTGTTCTTGTTACCTTTTGACAGCTATATCTGACAGCACAATAAACCAGACAAGACTGCATATATCAGAAAGGAGAAGGAGCTCATTTGCACAGCACTGAAAGATGGACATTAAAAAAATACAAAAATATTTGTGGATAAATTGGGCCCTCAAAAAACTGCAATCCCAATTACACTTTCTGGATTATCCAGGGAGAAAAAGGCAGAAAACCAAAAGGGGTGGCATTTGGAATAGGAGTGGAGCAAAAGTGACTGCAATCAGAGTAGGGAAAGGGGAGACATGATGGGTTGTGCCTTGAAAGACACTGAAATACTGGCTGGAGGACCAAAGGGAAAGTGGAGGAGAGCAACCCATGATAAGTCTGATGCCCTGCATAGCTTGGTTATGGGATGGGTTGTTGTGTTGTGCAAGCTTTTGCATTGGAAAAGTTACAATGTCCATCAACATTTTGCGGGAAAAGAGTAGCCAAGGTTTACAGAAGCAGAGCATAAATCAGCTAAAGCCAGTGATCTTCAGTTTCTTCAGGCAGGAGTCACTTTGCCTTTGTTCCTTGCATGCTTGGCTCCTTCCCTCACCGGCACATTCGATTTCTGCTCCACCTCCAGCAGCTGTGCAGGATATCACTGCAGCTGGCCCACCCTATTGCTCTTCACCTCTTGGGCTCCTCCTCCACCACAGGTTGATTGTTTCCGCCTTCTGCTTCTTCCACCCCCAACCACTTTACAGCTGATGATGTAGAAGATCACTTTTGAGATATAGGCAGTATTTTGACCTTGGAAGGAGGACTTCACGATATAATTTATCCTGAGCCATTCCCAGCCCCTGAAACGCATGTCCAGCAAAAGTAAGGAAGATGGCACATCCAGCAAAAGATGGTCCCCAGTGCTACTCCCACTCTGCCAGCGTCAGCCTGGAAGGATTCAGAATCGCACAAGCCTCCAAGTGTGGAGATTCCGAGCCGTGAGGGTACTGTGCCCTGAGTGAGTGAAAGGGAGGCAGAGGGCCATGCCTGAGGTGCATGGCAGGGAGCGACAACACCTGCGGCAAAGAGTCCCGCCCTGTGTGGTCATACTCTCCCCTTATGCAGGCCATTGTGTGAGGTGGAGCCTGAACCTTATGGCCCCCTGATCCTGCTTCCCACTGTCCATGCATCAGCTGGAATGCATGTGTAGAGGGAAGCCATGCAGGAGGGCAGCATCCTTCCTTGCTTTTCCACCCTCGTGCAGGTGTTAGGTCATGTAAAGTAGAGCAACCACAGGGAGTTGATTAGTGCTCACTGCACCAAACAGAGAACGTTCCTTGTCTTTCTGTCTCTGTGGTGCCGCTTGTTCACATTATTTTGACAAAGTGCACGCACAATTTAAAAGTAGCAAAAATATTCTGTTTATAAACAACTTGGCTTTCTCTTCTGAAGATAATGCAGCCTTCAGAAGGTCATCAGTGTGGTCATAGGTAGCCTTTAACATTTAAAGGACACACTGTTGCCCCCTTTTTCAAGTGAAATGGCTGGTGATGTTTTCCTGGGCAAATGGCAAAAATAATCTCTTCCTGTTCCTTGATTTGCAGAATTCACCTAGAAGACCTCAGCCAAAGCGTGCTTCTCTATATGACTGAAAAGCTTGGCTATAAGAACAGTGACGTGATCAATACTGTCCTCTCGAATAGGGCTTGCCACACACTAGCCATCTACGTCCTGCTTAATAAGAAACTGGAGTGCTACGTGTCAAGCCAAAGAGTAAGTTTGCCTTTGGATTGGGGTCCAAGTCAAGTAAAAGATAGAACAAAAACTCTAGGATACTGAGCTCAGGTACTGTGTTAGTATGACTGGGTAGCTGGAAGAGTGCTACAGTGAAAGACAAGGATGCCTGGGGAAGCCAAGTTCTACAGAATAGAAACAATCTTGGGAGGGGGCATCCAAGGTGAGCGGAACAACCCTAGAACCTTGCACTTACTCTTTTACTTCAGTGTGGAAGCACTCTTAAAACTTGTTGTAAATCGAGCTTGAGAAATTGCTCCCTACAAAAACCATTTTCACAGTTTTCTGATCAACTCCCCCAGCATTCCATGGTGTTCTAGAATGACCAAGAAATAGAATCCAAGATGGAAGTGTGTCTTGAGTTCTGTAGAATAGTGTTAGCAAGCTGCAGTCTGGGGAACTGCGGAAAATGTATAGAATTTAACTGAAATATAGCTATGTTGATGCTATATTTGAAAGGGAGTCAATAACATCAGACCAAACCTCTGATAGAGCAACATGATTATCCAATTAATGACTTATTAAAATTGTGGGGGAAAGAAAGTGCTTATGTTTCCATTTGGGAAAAACTTCTGAAATGATGTTGGGTGTAGTACAGCGTGTTTCAGGGCAGGTGCACAGAAACCCCTGAACTCGGAGGTTTGCATTTGTCTGCTGCATGGAGTGAGGCATGAAGGCGATCCCCACTGCCACTGCATCTTTGTCTAGGAATTAGACAAGCATGAGGCAATAGCCCAGCCTCCTCACCCCTCAGCATTCTCCTTTTGTCTGAGGCCCAATTCCATCCTCAGAGAGGTACCTGCTGTGGAGGGGGGTGAGGCAGGGGCTTGGCCGTAGGAGTTCCACCTCCAATCACAGGACCTCTGATCCTAGTATCCTAGGATCAGAAGCGGCTCTCCAAAAAATTCCTATGGGCTTCCCAAACAGTGTTGGGAAGCCATAGGAAACCACCCTTAGTGATAAATTTAACAGAAGCCAGAAACTGGAGACAATTTTTTTTGTGTGCAAGAATCCCTATGTTTCTGAATTGAAGATAGGACGGCATCAACTTTTGTTTAAAAGTGCTTTTCAGCTTGATCATGAGCAGGTTTATTTGAAATTAGGTTCCACTGAGTTTGATGTATATTATTCCCAATAGGATGATAAACATCATAATTCTAAAACAAAGCCTGCGATATCAAGGGATTTAATTATATCCTAAAATTATCCTTGAATAACTGCATATTGCTGTTGTAAAAGAACAGGCAGTAAAATGAGATTATCTGTGAATTGGGAACAGGTCAAAGCAACCCAACACAGAGTGTTTGTTATTTTAAAAGCAGCCTTGGAGACTGAAATCCAGATAGCATTTCTTGACCTGGAATGGACCTTTTAGCCACAGGATAAACCAAGCAAACAAAACAGTTCTTGCCTGTGACCTCATGCAATAAAACTTTTATTACTCTTTTTCCTTTAGTACAGATGTCTGATTCATTCTATATGTTCCTTTCCATGCCGAATGTGGGTGTATAGAATGAAGCAGATATCTTTACTGAATTTCCATGATGGGAGAGAGAGGAAATTATCTGTGTTGACACTGTAGTTCTGACAATGCACATGCAATGCTAGGCATCTTCCTTGTATAGTGGCTGCGTTACAAAAGTAGGTTGTTACAAGTGGCACTGTGTTACTGTTCCAAATTGACATGCTCCTGTGCAGGGTGCAGCCATGTCCTCCTCGAGGATGCCAGAACCTGTAATGGGCTGAAGCAAGATATTGCATCTCTATCTCCATTTCTCTGTTTGTTTGTTTGTTTGTTTGTTTGTTTCCAATTGGCCCTCAGCATCCCCTGGCTATCAACTGTGCTCGATCCTCACTGGGTTTTTGCTTATTTGATTTTTGTCTCGATAGGCTGTAGTTTTTAAAAAGAATTTTCATCCTTCTGCATGCCTCAAGTTCCCCAGGCATATAGATACCTCCCTCTTTGCCCTGTTTCAATTGACATTCACCAGCTAAGCTAACTGTTAGAAGGAATGATATTTGTCATTTAGGGCTATTGTCCTATGAAAACACTTTGGTAAATTAATCATATGCATTATGATTGATTAGTCAATTCAATCAGCATACACTTGTATATGAGCAAAGCTATAGGAGCAACCATATTATATTTTTTGATGATGAATGTGTCTCAGCAAGTGCCAGTTTATAATGCACTATGTTCCCTGTTGCATTTTATCCGAAATAAGTTCCCTTAATGAATAACAAATATGACATATCTAGTAGCATGATGTGTGTAGGGTTGTATTTTAATATACAATGTAGTTATATATTTATTTACAATAGCCTCTGAAGTAAAATATTTTTAAAGATGTATTAAGACTAAGCTGGCAAGTTATATATAGAATGGAAGCAGTGAAATTTATTATTTCAGTACCCATTTTAGCTAGTTTTGTGTTCTATTTTTTTCTACATATATTTCACATTGATTTTTTTAACCTTTCTAGAAGACTGATGTTCCTGATAACATGTACATGAACCAATCAGGTCGGATAGAAAAATACAAATCTAACAAGGATTCCTACGAGGTAAATCTCCAGTTACATTTCTTTGGGATCAAGCAGGATTTGGGCATTTGTATTGACTATTATTACAACTGACATGGTTTTGAGTCTACAAACACTGCAAAAATAAATCAATGCCCAGGGGACTTGTGAAGTAAGGATATGTAAAAGAAACGTATAAAATGACTCACTGCAAAAGCATGTCAAGGCTACATGGCTGATCATCTTTAGGTGGAAAAAACCCTTTCCTGTTTAACAAATGTTGAACAGATCAGTGAAAGGAAGGAATAATATCCGTAAAATGTGTGCACCGATATTGATTGTCTTATTTTCAAAGTCAGAACAAATAAAAGAGGAATGCTATTGATATTTTTGCCTTAAAAATGACAGCAGCATCAGTTATTGGTAATGAGCACCTTTTGGTGGTGTTTCTTTCTGTTCAGCATTTGCCATCTGATTCTGTACTGATGGAACACATGCATTCCAAGTTATAGATATTAAGGTCACAGAGTTAGAAGATACAGCTAAAAGATCTTGGTTATCCTGACAGGCATTCAGCAACATCTGGAGGAGCACACATTTCCCACCCCTGGATTAGAGGATTTACCTAAGAGATAGTCTAAGGGACAGGCCTGAGGGGAAAATAGGCATTTTTCAAATTCAGGAAATGGTGGGGCCATCCAAATGTCAGAAGAGCAGGAATTGCACATCAAAGGAGCTGAAACGATGAAGTCAAGAATTGGGGGGGAAAAATCAAGGCATCTTTATTACATGTGCCATAATTCGGCTGTTTGGTGCAGATTGTCAGGTGTGGCTCCAACTTGGGTCTACAGCACGGTGCTAATTCCATGAGGCAACTGCACATGGATGCAAAGCTAATAAGCAGTGCATGTACTCAGAAGTGGTCAGGCAAATATTCTTTGGAGAAGATATTTTAAACCAGGCAGCAGGTTGTTTTTGGATTAAAATAATTAGATGGAGTCAATATAATTAATTTATTAATCCAATTTTCAGTCATTATTTCATACTGATGTAAGAAATCCCCTGTCACTGTTTCATAGCATAAAATACCTTAAGGACCATCCAGATGTCAGAGGAGAGGGAATTACACATCTTATGAGACTGATGTCAATTAAACGAAGGGCTCCCATCTCACAGCTTTCTGTGCATTCTGTGCCCTGATAGGCAGTTGCTGACAGAGCAGTGAGGATGGCAGAAACTTCTCTAGCATTTCTGTCTTCGATTGGTGATTATTGCTGTAAAAGGACATCTGAGCCCATGTAGCTCACTTACCTTCCAAGAGGCAGGAACTGAGGCCTGGAGACCTGTGGATTCAGTGTGCCCATGGCCTCTCCGCAGCCCACTATCCAACCCATTGAGGTGCCTACTTCATCCTTCGCCATCGTGTTCCCGAGGCCAGAGCTAAGACCTCAGGAGAGGAGCCATTGCAGAGCTTTCTGTGAGGGCAGGTGAATCTGAGTGGGGATTTTCCGATTCCAAGGTTGTAGCTCCGCCCAAGTCACTTTATGGCTCCCAGCACCATCTAAACTATAGAAATGAACCCGACTGCTTTAGAAATGAACCCAAGACTCCATGTTATTCAGAAACCAGGCAAGGTCATCATTGTCCCTCAGGCAGCAACCTAGAAAATCAATCATATTCATCCTTCTTTGTCCTTAAAGGCAGGACTTTGTGTCCTTTCTGGCAGGACCCATAATGTCTTCCTCTTCCTGCTCTGATCATTACCTCTTATTTTTCACCATATGGGGTTAGGGTTTTGTTTTGTTTTGTTTTGAGCCTTAAAAGTGCAACTGGGGCTTTTGTTTCAGCCCCTGAAAATTGTGCCTTTAAAACAAAGGTGCAAAATGTTCCACCTCTTACTGCCCCCATCCATTAAATTTTCATGTATTCCTGTGGTTCAAAAAAAAAAGAAAAAAAAACTGTGAGAAAACTGGGGAACTGTAGCAACTCCAGCACTAAATACTCTGTAAAGTGGGGAGGGAGTTAATATTTGCCCTTTCTGGGGTAGCTGGAGAGTAAGGGAAGTGCTGCTAAAAAGTAAGAAGATTGGATTGCTAAGGAAGAGATTTGCCCCGACTCCCTTCTGGTGCAACATCTGTTGCCGTTTTCAACTGACAGCTAGGAGTTTGGGCCCTGGCAACTGTGTACATATCAGTCTCTTCTTTTTGCATTGACAGCTGAAACTGACAAGGAAACTGACCAGACAAGATTACACATACCAAATAGCTTTAAGTGTGTGATTGCATACCAGCAAAAGGCCAATAATAATTAAAAAAACCTGTTACTCCAGTTCTGAGCATGCCCCCCTCCAAAAAAAAGGGGGGGGATCTGAGGAATGATTGACAGTCCTTCCAAACTGCTGCTTCAGCATGAGTAAAAGAACAGTCATGGGCAAATTTGTGCAAACATGAGCTAAAGGGAGGTTTGTTGCTATTGTCAATTGCGATCCAAATTATGCATGGTGAGGAGAAAGTGGATAAGGAAACATGTTTCTCCCTCTTGTATAATACTAGAACCCAGGGTTATCCCATGATTAGGACATGGGATATTTAGGACAGATAAAAGGAAGTACTTCTTGATATAATGCATACTGAAACTATTGAATTCATAGCCCACATTCCCAACAATCTATGATAAAATTGCCCAGCTCGGGCAACATAATACGCCACAATGGGTAAGAAAAATCCTTAAACAAGTCATAGATTCTCAGAAGGATTTATTCATGAAAAATAAGATACCTGCAGAAACATGGTAGTTTTTCTGAATGTCATGTGAACCCATTACTGTGTTCACGTGTATTTGTTGTTGCCAAAGGAAAAAAAACTACCACAGCCCAGATGGACATATCAGAACAAGGATCTTCATTAATTGAAAGAGTAACACTTTAAGAATATTTTGCTTATATAACGATTGAGTCATCCTGCCTGAAAAAACGTGTTCCTGTTCTGTCAAGTTCTACCTTAGTATCAAACTTGATCATCAATGCACACTAATGAGCTCTGGTAGCATGCTTTAAAGGCCCATACAATTTCCCATTTGATATAGAAATGTGAAAAAGGCACACATCTCAACATTCCTCAGCCACTGCAGACAAAACATCCCTTTCAGTCTAGCTTGCAGCTGCAGACATCCGTTTGCAAAGAGCCATTCTGAACAAAAGAGATATATGGAAGTGCATCTGTGTGTTACCATGGAGACTTGGGCAGACATCTAGGGTTCTGTAGCACCTTGCTGGAAAAAAAATCAGCATATTTTAACACACTGAAAAAATGCAAAAGGGAAGTTCAGTCCCAGTAGGTTACCCTAACAGACCTCTAGATGGCTTTGGGCCACTGTCTGCTCTCCATCTATGTAATAGTTATGACAGAGATCAGTACCCAAAGATGAATAAATTAAAAGATGTAAAACACAGTGCTCAGTGAAACTATTACATAAAAGACGGTTCATGATGCAGGTTTCCAAAACCATACTTACTGCTTTTGTTGCATCTAGTCTGGCATGGAGGTTGGTCTACAGCTGAGGTTCAGGTGCTCTCATTGTACTCCTGCCTTTTGCTAATGTCAAATTCAGTTTTCAGAATACAATTCTCCTCCCATCCACTGCTTTTTCAAACAAAAATGCTGCCTTTTTAGCTATTGTAGTTAACTCAGCATTGGCAGATAGCCAACAGGAACCACAAAAATGGCTGGCAGGTTGCATGCAGTCTATGGACCACATGTTACCCTAGTCTAGTCTACATTTCCTCAAGCCAGTGCCCACCAGATGTTCTGAACCACAGTTCCTGACCATTGGGCTTGCTGACTTTGGGGTACCAAATTGGGGAAGGTTGCTCTAATCTCTGATGAGGTATAGCAATGAGCATCCAAGTTGCATTGGTACTGGGAAAGGTGGCTACACTGCACATATTGATGTAAAATAATTTGCCCATTCTGTGAAGCAGCCGATCATATATTAACTTATACATTGGTCATATATGAGTTGGTTAGTTATATCTATTCCAAACAATCTGGAATTTGCAAAATGAGAGATACCTTTTAAAACATCCACAATGAGATCTGAATACAAAAGATTTTACACTATCTTTTACATATTTATTTATTTATTTATTAATTGATTGATTTATATCCTGCCTTTTTCCTACAAAGGGCTCAAGGCAGCTTACATCTCCTCCTCCATCCAATCCTCACAACAACAACCCTGTGAGGTAGGTTGGGCTGAGAGTCTGTGACTGGCCCAAAGTCACCCAGTTGGCTCCATGGCTGAGCGGGGACTAGAACCCAGATCCTCTGAGTCTCAGTCCCATGCTCTTAACCACTACACCACACTGGCTCTCCACATATGCAAATAGGTACAGAAGTTTTACTTGGGTATGTACTTCATGACAAAATACATCATAAGAAGCTCCTTCAAGAATATAAGAAGAACCATGCCAATTCAGACCAATGGTCTATCTTGCCTAAGATCCAGTCTACACAGTGGTCAACCAGCTACCCCATGGGAAGCCCACAAGTAGTGCATGACTGCAACAGCAGCTTCCCAGTTGGGTTCCTCTACAATTGACAAGGAGACACATACTCCCTCATATACTAGAGACAGCTTATGGGACTAGCAGCCATTGATAGCTTTATCCTCCATACATTCATCCAATCCCTTTTTAAATTGGTAGGCAATGCTATATTATTATTATTATTATTATTATTATTATTATTATTATTATTATTATAACATTTCTATGCCGCCCCTTGCCGAAGCCTCGGGGCGGCTTACAACACAATAAAATACATTGAAATACAATAGAACATAATAAATTACCATTAAATACAAAAATACACTGAGTTACAAACATAATATAAAATTAAAATTATCAGTATAAAATAAGTAAATAAATAATATAGGAGGAGAAAAGAGAAGGAAGAAGAAGTTGAAAGTGAATTCCATAGCTCTTGAGCTGTGTGACAAAGCATTTTCTTTTATCTTTCTACATCTCTCATTTGCTTAGGATAACCCAGATTCTAGCATTTTTCAAGGAGGAAGAAAATGTCCCCTTTTTGTCTGCTCTCTCCACACCATTCATGTCTTCACTTTTACACAATACAAATACACCATTAGATGTGCTAATATCAGAACCAACCAGTGCATGTGGTAGGCATGATATAATTGGACCTCAAAAATGCTTTTGACAACATGGAGTGGGTGGGCTGAAATGAAGCGTTAATCGATTCACCTGCACTTTTCATCCTAAAACCACTCCCCAGAGACAGTTATTTCCATTCAAAGAGAAAAATAGCCTGGGAGAAGTTATGAAAAAGGTTTGCCTTCTTGGCTACCTTTGGTACGCTTCCAGTCTCTGTCCTCAGTTTATAGTAGTCAGAGCATTACACATTTGAACAGTTCAGGTTCAGCTGCAATTCAAGGTGTTCCAGTTAAGTAACTCCTGTGATACACATAACCAACCAGTTCAGTTCTGGTTCACATAAGGAAATTTAAGGCACATTATTTATAATGATCATTTGCACAATTGGATACCACAAGCTAATAAGACTAAAATTGTTGCTGTTCAGCACTATTAAACATGCATGGAACAAGAAATAAATCCAAAATGTTTAAGAAACATATATTTCATTTGTACAATTAAATTTTTAACTGTAATATCAGAACTGTGTAATAGGTGAAGAAGCAACAAAATCAGTTTTAACAAGGCAGGAAGGGACTTAGCGATTGTCACTGCAATTAGCTAGTTAAGTATTTTTCAGTCCATTTACTATAACACTCAGGAAACAAATGCTTTTCAACCTTAAATGGATGGATCACCATGGATAACTTCTTTGTGAACCAAACCCCACCACGAAGGGGAAGCAAGGCTCCATTCCAACTTGAGCTGTATGCAGCACTTGCATAAGTTGAAGTACAGATGCCTGTACAAATGTAGAATATAAAAGTCCTCCCAGAGATTGGTTTTGTAGCAGACCTCTTCAGGCATTCTATTTACTATGTTGTATGCATGAGCACTCCAGTCCCCCTGTAGGTATGGAAGGCCACTGTCTGAACAGGAGAGCCATTTGAATTCACAGTGGTTCTCTGCATGGTTAAGAATGCTGATTCTTCATTGTGTGGAGACCCTCCAGAAATACAGAAGGCTCTCAAGTTCAGACAATCACATTCCACACATACCAAGCAACAGATTTGATGGTAGCGTAGAAGGGGACTACAGTGCTACACTCTCCATGCATTTGTTCAATACGGTAAGTAGAACACCTGAAAGGGGCTTTTATGTATTCATTCTAGATCTGGTGGGACCAATGAGTATACCATAAAATGAGTTTACTCTGCAGTTGAATCCTTGTTCTGAATGAGTTACCCTTAAAAGAAAAGTTCTGTTCCACTTCTGAGATGGGGCAAATAATGGTTCAAGTTCTGTTCCAGTTCAGGCAAAAAATCAAAGACCATTCAGGTTTTCGCTCAAGTTCAGGTTGACCCTTCTTTATAGAATTGGTGACGACCTGATTCTAACTCCTGAGAGTGCTGCTGATGTAGTTCGACGAGCATTTCAAAGTAGACAAGTCTCTGAAATACTCTCTAAGGCATCGCTCAAGTCATATATAGCATGCACAGTGGACTTCTTTCCACTAGCTTATTTGCCCCTCTTCAAATTTTGAAGGTTGCCCAAAATGAGTATATGTACTTCTGCTATTTTTTAAAGTTCCCTGAAATAGTTTCTAACAAACCAATCTTTTGTTTGTTAATATTTGAAGGACAAAAAGGCCAAGGAACAAGAAACAACAGAAGAACCTCTTCACCCACTTCTGAAGAAATCCGAGGCAAATTCTCCTTCCTACAAAGAACCTTCCTCTTGCCTTATGACACAGAAAGCTCTGCTGAATGATCACAAGCCAAGCCAAGGTGGTGCACCAGAGAAAGGTACAGGGTGGCTATTGATAGGGTCTTTGCTTCCTTTAGGAAAACTAGACACGTTTACTCAGTGGGAATTATTCATGGATAAGGATGCAGAGCAGAGCAGTATGAAACCTGCTTAACAGGCACTGGGCAGGCCGGCCCAATCATCATGGCTTAAACAAGCTGTGACATTTGCTGGCAGATGCCAGGCTCCATTTGCTCAGTTAGGCACTCTGAGGGACTTGTTGTGCCTTCCAGACTAAGGCAGCATGGCTTTGTGAAGTGGAAACATCCTTCAGATAACCCACCAACAGACCATGGGTTATAGGAGGGTTTTTTCCCTCTCCTGAGTTTGGATGGCAGAAGAAGTTGCATCCAGGTCATTAGTTAGATAAATAGTATCTGGTATGCACTGCAGCTTAAACAATACTGTGGCATGTTCAAGCCATGGTAAGTCTGTAGTCATACACTTTTCCTGAGGAAACTTAATTTGGTAAATAGAGCTAGAGCACGTTCGTACTTTCTGCTCTGGCTTCCACCTCCACCCCCCAAAATCCCGGGAACTGTAGTTTGATGAGAGTGCTGATAATTTTTTCAGCACCTCCCTCGAACCATATTTCCTGGGATTCTTTGGAGAAGCCATAACACTTAAACTGATCTAAAATTGCTATCAGTGTAGATACCCCCCAGAACAATGATACGGATTTCTTCCATCCTTAGTCATTTCCTCTCACTCCTAATCCTTTTCAGCCATTTGATGCTGAAAAGTATTTGGCAATGCTTAGGGCCATTGTATAAGATAAAATATTTCTATATAAAATATTTACAAATTGATGTAAAACTGTAAATTATATGGCCAGAAAGCATGCGTGTGAGTAGGTATATCACAAATGCACACACGTGTGCACATACTTCATCAAGGAGTCAGATTTCTCTGCTCCTTTCCGCCTGGTTTTTATGCTGTGATAAATTCATTTTTAGCACTGGATTATTTGTGACCAGTACTGAATATCTGGATACATCCCAGAAACACAAATTACATTTTAGATAATTGCATGTTCTGAACTGCCTCTGTTTCCTGACTTTCAGTATGATCAAATTACCCTGGCTTTTCAGAGCTTTCCTTCCTCTATTCAGACTTGGTAGTGTTCAATTATATCTGCTTTTCTCCTGGACTGTGGTTTGATTAGCCCAGGAATGGCATGCTGATAGATTCCTTTTGTCTTGGAACAGCAGTAGGAATTTCTGTTAGTGGAATCAAGGAAAGCCACAAATTCAAGCAAGGAAAATCCTGCTGTTTAGGATGGGTGTACCTGTATAGGTGTTTTGGAGAGAAACTGCATAGAAAGACATAAGAAGGAAGAAAACTCAAATGAGTGTAAAGCATCAAAACAAAAGCAAGAGTAAAGGAAATTAAATGAGCAAGGGGAAGAGCAAACAGTCTGAATTTAAAACATAAGTGTAGTGGTAATAATGAATATGCCAAAATTCAGTTAGGGCATGAAGAAGATCAAGTGTGCCAGTACAAAACAGAAGAAAAGGAAACAGAGTAACAGCCTATAAAGAAGAAGCAGATAGGCAATGGCACATTTCAAAATAAATTTCTCATCACTGCATTATTCTGGGAATAGGCTCACATCTAGGATTTTGATATTCTGGAGCCAGAACACCTTGCATAGTGCTTTTCCTCCATCCTTAGGCAAATTTGCATGCCATTAAAAAACCAAATACAAAAGATCCCACAAAGCCTTTTCTTCTTTCTGACTTGTTTTGTATTGTTTTGCAGATTCTCCTAGTGGTTTGAGCCCTTTCCATAAATCACCAACATCCAAGACAGGTTGTGTCACTTCCTATTCTTTGGAGTACCTTGAAATCCAGCAGCCTATTCCAAGAACCCCAAGGCTCATGAAACGGCAAGATTCTCCTCAACAAGAACCCTCAAGCCCTGGTAGCCAAAACTTGGATTCGCCTTTAATTCTGAACATTGTACACTCTTTTGAAACTGGTGACAGAGAGGACCAAATAGACCAAGTTTCTCCCAGCCATCAGTATCGAATGCTAAGCTCACCAGTAAACTTTGGTCGGAGAAGCTCCAGTGAAAGGACACTGTCTCCACTGTTCCAGCCTGGAGGGACTTCTCCCAGCCCTACCAAAAGTCCAGTCCACCCCACGCAGCTGTCCTTCACATATGATGAAAAAAGCAGCTCTTTTAGAGAGGAGGCCGTGTCTCCTACCCAGCTGAGTAACACCTCCAATCCTCTGGGGAGCCCCAACTGTGTGAAGAGCAGAGGCCGATTCCCCATGATGGGCATTGGACAGATGATGCGGAAGAGGAACCAGTCAGTCGGCTCACCCACAGAGAAGTCTCTGGAAGCCAGAATGCCTCAGTTGCAACAAATGAGCCCAACACAAATTTCCTTCAATATAATGGACCCTATAAAGGGCCAGTGCTGAGGAGGTCGTGCTCAGATTCTGAATTTGTACAGTGCTGGTTTCTGGGACTTTTCACAAAAATAGTGAAGACTTGCAGATGTAATGCTTTCTTTGTATAGTTTGTTACCACTTCTAATATGAAAATCACACAGTCACATGTTTTAGTGGCATTGGCTAGTGCAATTGACAAAAGGGGACCACATCAAGCATTATAAAGACTTACTTGGTTTTAAAGACCTACTTAATCTTCTAAGTAGGTACTTTTTGTCTATATCCTACAATTATACAAGTTTGTGCCAACAAAAGACACCTTCAGCCTGATTGGTCAATGAAGCAATGGTTGATGGACTTTGGCAGGCAACTGTTTCACTGGCATAAGCATTGATCCTGTCATTCAAAGAGAGGAAAAATAATAAAGGACATTTTTGATGTTTCTCAAGCAAATGTATCCTCTTAATTCATTTACAGGATGAAAAAGAAACACACCTGAAAGGACTTGGAATAAAAGCACAAAGGTTAGACTTTCAGAGCAAGACACTGATCATTTTTCTGTTTAATCATTCTTCACCACCTAAAATCAGTCTATATTTTTCCTAAATAAAACATTCATTTGGTAAGAGATATGACTATAAAGAGACCTGTCCATCTCACCAGTACATTGGCTGTCAAGAAATCTTTGTTTGCACTCTTCCCATCATGAGACTAGCCATGGGTGCGTTAAACAGTCTATAGTTCTAGATGCTCTACTCTCTTCTTTGTATGGTTGTACCATTTATGTGAACGTGTTCTTAGGAAAGAAAACGTATGATCTGGTTTATCAAAACTGCATTGGACATACTTGAAAGTGTTGCTAAGAAACTCTTCACTACATTAAGAGGAGTTATCAAAGGACACGTCTGCTAGCTCCAGTACCATCTGCAAATGGCAGGAATGGTAATGCAGTTGGGTATCCAAAATTCAGTAGTTTTACTAACTGTGAAGATTAACTTCCGTAAAAGGCAAATATGTTCTGTACTCTGCAGCTCTTTTTATATTTCACAGTAAAGAAAATGTCTACATAAGAAAATAGACTTTTTGTGCAGATAATTTGCTATGAATTTACTACTGATTTGCTACTCTATGGTTTACCTGTGCCCTGCTATGGCATGAGTTATGTGTACAGGATTTTTGATCATGGTTAATGTTAACCCAGCGCAATGGCAGATTATCCCTAATGGCATACACACTTCCCCTACTCTTTCACACAATGTGTTAATGCCTTTAAAGACAAATCAGAATATGTGATGTTTGGATTGGGGGATTGTTGTTAAAATTATGGTTGAAAGACATTTGATACCTTCATTAAGAAAGACCAACATTCTACCAGGATGTTATTGATACACAAAGGATCTCAGATTACCTCCAAATATTTCTTCAAGATGAAGATTAAGAAGCAGGGATGGATGTGTTTCAAAGGCACCAGCTGGTCCTTTGGCTGCAACATCAGTAGGACCATACGTTTGTCCATTAACTGAAATATTACACATGGGTACAAACATGAAAATAGTTTATGTTTCAAAGATGGTGGAAATACTCCAAGGAAGGGACATTGTCTCTACTCTTCCAGCCCAAAATTATTTTTATTATGGCACCACAAACTTGGTTACTGTTTAAGGTCCATATAATCTCATTCCCACAAGTGCCAAGCTGTAACTGTGAAATGGCACAATATCCAGCTCTTGAGATCTTATCACTGTTTAGTTCTCCTAACAGATGAGGTGGTATTGCCACAGGTGGGAATTCACATCTATAAATGATCCTTGGGAAGGAAGTACCTACACATAGTGATGAAAAGCTAGATGGAAAAGGGTGGCAACCTAACCTTCCCCATGGCATGCTGGCCTTCTACATGTAGGTACCTTTAACATTCTTCTAGTTTCAACACACAAGCCCTCATGCCCAGTATGTAGAGTCTAGGTACAGTTTTACTCCATCTTCTGCTTTTGAGAACTGGACTCCAGCTCATATCAAATGAATATTAATGATGTGAGCTGCCCCGAGGCTTTGGCGAATGGGGCGGCATAAAAATGTTTTAATAAATAAAATAATAATAAATATCCATTTGCAGGGCTGGAAATGTTTCAAAACGTTCAGTGAGAATCCATTTTCAGGCACCCATGATGCAAATTCAACAGGCCTAGAAAACAGACCATGAGAAATGTTCAAATTCTTAGCTGCCATAGCTTTGGAAATTTCTAGCCCATTTGAAGTTGGAACATAACAGATCTTCTGACACCAGACACCACCTCTTTTTTTAAGGCCATAGTCCAGAGACTCAGCACTCCAAACCTCTGATGGCTTTTTGTCATTGAGTAGTTGTATTTACATTTTGACTCCCATTATTTACATTTTGACTCATCCTTGAACAAATCAACCTGCATTTTAAACTTGATGATGTTTCCTGCAACACTTGGCAGTTCAACAGATCAAACACTGTGAATAAAAAAGGTGTTGTAATAGGATTATGTCATCCATGCCTTGTGTGTACTTCAACCATGGCCTAGAAAAATCCTTTAAAAATTCAGGATTTTGATGGGTATCTTCAAAAGAAGCCAGAATATTCTGATGAAAACTGAAGACCCATGCATTTCAAAGTCTGCAGAAGTCAGAAAATATATTTGATGGCATTTCCTTACTGAACGTAAGACCAAAAAGATGGTAACCAGAATACCATCCTGTACATCCTTCAGACTGATGTACCTGAACGAATTTCAAATACTAACTTGTACTATCAACTCAGGTTTATTTGGAACCCAATAAAACATTGGGGAAAGCAAGAAAGAGCTGTATTTTTGTGAATATATGACAAATATATGTAATATCAGAATGAAATGTGTTGTTGCTGAATCTTTATTGCAGTACTATAAAATGCAAGTAGTACATTGGTTTAAAATAGCTTCATATGCAAGCTGTTTCTTAAGGCATGTTTCACATTTGCCAGCAGCCTAACCCATCCTGTGGTTAATTGAGACACACATGGAAACTGGTAGAGCCAGATGACAATCAGATGACGCATGAAAAGCCCCACCAGTAAGCAGAATCAGGTCACAATAGTCAAGGACTGATTAAGCAGGTTTAGGGCCAGTTCACATGAAACAGCCAGGAGGATATCATGGGTTATCTAACTCATTATCTGCCACAGCATGTGCATCTGCCATCTTGAATATGCCACCCCCAATTAGGTTGGGCTATGTTGTGCAAACCCAGCCGCTGAAGGTCAGGCAATTCTCACATAATTATTCTGATCATTTCATTTCTGTACTGCTCCATCTCTGGGTAGTTCGCAGAACCATGCTACTAATCAATAGTTATTTATTTATACTGCCCAGTAGTCAAGGTTCTCTGAGTGGTTAGCAAATGTATAAAATATAAATAAATAAATAAATAAATGACACCAACACTCATAGCAGTTGCAATTGAAGCAGCACAGAAGTATAAGGGTGGTACAGAATAAAATGCAATTTTTTTAAAATGAAGTTAAATTGTTAAAATGCTAGGAGAATAAAAAGATCTTCACTGGCATTGAAAAGAATACAAAGGCACACCTCTTCAAGGAGCTGATTCCACTACCAGGGTGCCACAACTGAAAAGGCCCTCCTCCTGGTAGCCACCTGTCTCACTTCCTTTGGAAGGAGCTCCTGGAGAAGGACTTTTGGAGATGCGCTCAAGGTCCAGGTAAGTACATATGGATGGGGACATCCTTCAGATAACGTGACCCCAAGTTGCTTGCATGTTAGTACTAGCCTTTTGAATTAAACCCAGACTTCAACTGGCAGTCAGTACAGCTGGAAGAGGACCAGCATAATATGTTCCTGTGAGCCATTCCTCATTAACAGTCTAGCTGCCCAGTTTTGGATCACTTGAAGTTTCTGGACCATTTTGCACTCCCTCTGTCTTTCTCACAAGAAAGGTCATTGCACAGGGTGACCAAAGCAGTTTCCATTCCAAAAGCAGGCCTTGGAGCCTGATTGAAATAGATCTAAATAATCTGTTTTATTGGAGCTGTTCAGCTACCACCTGCTCAAGCCACTTGTCCAGGAAAGGGATGTTGGTCACTGTCCTCCAGATTTCTTACCATTCTCTGGGCTTTTTCAGGAGTTGTCTTATTACAGCCTCTTTTAAGGAGGCTGGCACCACTCCCTTTCCCAAGGAGGCATTTACAGCCTCCTAGACCCAGGTAGAAATCCTTTCCTTAATTGTCGTGAAAAGCCATGAAGGGGAAGGGATAAGCACACAAGTGGAGGGCTGGACTAGGCCAAGCACCATGTCCATACCCTCAGGCCTCAATAACTGAAGCTCATCCAATGAAACTGTACCAGATGGTGCTCTGGATACCTCTGCTGGTGGAACTATATTATATGTAGTATCCAATTCATGATGAACCCAAGTGACTTTATCTTCAAAGTGCAGTGCAAATTCATCACACCGTGAACGCCACAATTTCTTTCCCTGCCCCAGGCATCCAGCCCAGAATATGATAGGCCACAAACCACTTAACAAAGCTCTGCTGGATCACCCTGAGAAGATGCAATGCTGGTGGGAAAAAATGGCCTCTTTGCCACCCTCACTGCACTGCCACAGAGGAGGTTCAAGAATGACTTCTAACCCATGTTCAACCAGACTCAGGTTATAAGATAGCTGTTTAACACTTGATCCACAGTGGCCAGGTTTGCACAATACAGATTCATTTTTCAAAATAGGTGTACAAGCTACACGTCATTGTGAGTTACTTAACCCATGAAAATTCACCACATCATGCAAACCAGTTCTTTATCTGGTAAAGATAGAATAGGTAACACCAAGGAAGAAGAAAGCACAACTCTGAAGAGCTCTAAGTAGGTCCTTATGGCTGGACTGCCCTCCTACTTTCCAGAGAGCTTTGACTATTACAAGGTATACAAACTAAAAAATAAATAAATAGAAAGTTGTTATCTTTGCAGGGAGTAAAAGACATCTGAAGTCTTATGTAGGCTGACAAAATA